ATGGCCGCCTTCACGACGTTGCGGACCATGAACCGGGTGAACCATAGCTGCTCGAACTCCTTCCACGTGATGTGCGTGTGGAGTTCGGTGATGGTGCACTTGTGGGTGGCCGCAAGGTGGTTCATCCATGCCTGCGCTCCTCCAATCAGTTGCAAATAGAGTGCCTTCAACATGTCGTTTGCGGGGACAGTGCGGCATGACGCTTCCGTGAGAAAACGTTGCCACCATGTCAAAGCGTCCGACTTGTTGTAGTCCTCGAACTTGCAGATGTCGAAGTGCTGCATCTTGAACGTCTTTGTAGCGGCGTCCGGTCTCGTCTGTAGCTTGGTGATGTCCGTCTTGATGGCGGCCACCGTGCTGCTGGTCGTGTCCGGTCCGTTGAAAACACCTATGTCGCCGATGATGGAGACGATGTGATCGATGCGTTCGTTGATTTGCTTCGTCGCGTCCGTCGTGCAGCCTGGCGCTGCTGAGGCCTTGGCCTCAATGCCGTTGATGCGTGCGATGGTAGAGTTCCTCAGCTGTTGCTGTTGCTGCTGCTGCATTGCTGCGTCGCGGACGCCGGCCGTTACAGCGGCCAGGTCTTGCTGGTACTGCTGTTTTTGCTGTCGTTCCGCGTGCAGGTGTGCCTGCAGTAGTTTGTTGTTCCACATTACTCCCCTCATTACGTTCAACATCACAGTAGCCAGGTTACTTCTCTCTGCCTCCGCCTGTGTCGGCTCCGCCTGCGTTTCCGTAGGCACAAAGATCATGCTTTGGAGTATGATTGTCCACTGATGCTCACTAGCAATCAGGGACTCCGTGCTGGCGGCATTCCGTCTGTTTCGTGCCACTTCGTCAGTCACAGCTGTCCGCTGAGCTTCGGCTGCCGCCTCATTGGCCAGCCACTGACGTTCTACCTCTGCCGCAGCCTGCTGAGCCTCGGCGGCGGCTACGGCGTCTGTAAATGCCTGTAGCCGCCCACGATAGTCAGCCAAAGGCTCGCTGGCCTCTCGGACCGGGCATGCGGGAAGATCTCCGGTGGTGTCTTGTACTGTCAATGCCGTACTTGATGCCGCTGGAGTCGTCCGTCTGCTGAATCTCTTGGGTCTTKKAGGTACCGCAGGGCGGGCACGAACTGTGATCCTGGCACTGCGCCGTGGCAGTGCCCCGGTGTCCTGTTCCATCGACATCAGTCTGAACTGATGCGGTACTTGAGAGGTGCCGGTGTTCACAGAATACAGGGGGGTAGGGAGAGTGGGAACAGGGGTAGAACAATCAASCARTATACATACAATCCCCTGTCCCACTGATGGACTGTACACACCTAATCAAACAGAAAAATAAATTTCCCGAAAATCACTCCAAAATTCGTAATAAGAATTTACTAACGATTTAATCAGTAAAATTAATTAATGATAAATAACAAAATAATAATTCTTAACGAAATAACGAATTTGAATGGTGTTATGATTAGGTCTCTTTGAGATCACTTGAGTCCGGGAGTTCACCGTTAATGAGTGAACTACCCGGAAGTTGCAGTTTGAGGGTCAGATACGCTTAGTGTGCTAAAAAAAATTTCGGAAAATTTCAGGAGAAAAAACGCTCGAATTTTCAAAAACGCGAATTTTTGGGAATTTCCACCGTCAAAATCCGATTTTTAAAAGCCTAAACCTGTTTTCGGAATTTCTCAAACAAGGGGAATGAAAAAAAAATTCGCAAAAATTTCGGTCCCAACCCTAATTTTCCGCGTTTCCGCGAAATTTCCGGATTTACGGTCCCCAAAACGTTCCAATTTCCCCAAGTTGATCTAAAACCCAAAAGATTTTCGTAACCCTAATTCCAATACTGAAAGACAACGGAAATCCCAAAAGAAAACGAAATATAGGATTTACAACAGAATGCCGAAAAACGGAATGCTGAATGGAAATCAGAAAAGCCAAATTTCAAACATGATATTGATTCAACCCTAATACGCGTAAAATCAGAAATCCGAATCAAACAGAATGTTGGATTAGTATCAATTTCTCGGATCCTAATTACACAGCATACCGGTGTACAACAGAAATCCGAATAAAAGTCCGAATACTGAATTGAACAGGAAATGCCGAAATAACCAGACTACCGAAAAAATTTGCAACTTGAACTTGATAGTAGTACAGCGTTGATTGGGAAGATTGAAGAACAATCTAAATTCCTAAATCAGTCTTACCTTTGTGAGCAGATCCTGCTCCGATACCAAAACT